GCTAGAACATAATTGTAAAACTAAAGTTGGTTAGAATGTCCTACTGCACTAATGTCTTCTCTCCTGCATTAATAACAACCACACAACACAAATACTGCAAGAAACTCAGATGTGCTTCTAAGAGTCTGTTGTAATAATTACACAGCATTCAAGCTCAATGGGACTTACTTCTGAGTAAGCATATTAGAGGTTTTGCTGACAGAACCAGAGACCAAGCCCAAGGTATGAGGTTTAAAAACCTAAGACCAATTCAAAAAAAGCAGGACGGTGCAGAACTAAGAGCAGAACAACCAACATGCAAATCCTCACTGCTGAAATAAAATGACCATGACCAAACTCACTAATTAAAAAGTCTGAAATTCATATACAGATTTTGGCCTAGCTTTACATTACAAACCATCTGCAAGAAGTTGCATTGATTTCAATGGAATCATTTTTAAGCAAAATGGCTTTCAGAGCTACAACCTTAATCAGCTCTACTTTTGTCTCTCAGTACTGCCATAGGTAAGGTCCAAATCCAACACACATTTTAAAGATGGCCAATTCGATTGGGAATTGTCAAGCTATCTCTGAATTATTCCAATTCACATTGAGCATTCTCCCTCGGCCAACAAAGCGAGCTGAGCGCCGCAACCCCAGAGTCATCCGCGACTGGACCTAACGATCAGGGGTCCCTTTACCTTTTGGGATCGAATTATGTATCCATTCATTTATTTGAAATACTGCTACTGGTTTCTCACTGGTGGAAGCAGGTGATAGATGATAATGTTGTGGTTTTGAATTAATTCACAAAGGCTGCCATTTCTCATGCAATCATAGAGCCTGAAGAGACCTCCCACAGCCATGTATTCCAATTGCCTACCGATGCAGGAAATAGTCTTATGTGATCATCCAGCTGCTGCTTTAAAATGTATGTCATGGAGAGGGGTTTCATGGAGAATCCTGATGTGGGACAAGAGGAAGAGCTTTGTGATTTTTTTCATCCCATTATTATGAAACAGGCCAGCTTCAAAACTGCATTAGAAATGGGACAATGGGACCTTTGGCAAATACGCCCTAATTGCAAAGACAAAGCCTAAGAATATTGCTACAAAGCAGGAGAAAGGTAAATCCAGGTGTCTGACACTGCAAATCTATTATGGTTTTTCAATTCATCCTTACGCAAATCCGAAATCCCATAGAGCTTAAAACTTCCTCATATGTTAGGGAAATTGGGAAACTGCCACAAGGGAGGACAGTGGGGGAGAATATGTTAGCTCCACACACCCCAACGTCCACATTTTCACCACCCTCCATGAGCTGAAAGGGGACTCTCAACAGCAAGGAACCTCTTGTATCCATGGAAGCTCCTCACCCATTCTGGTACCCTGGAAAGTCAGGTTCTAAAATGCATAAGGAGCCTCTGCAGACACAATAGGCTCCCCAGCACAGTCAGCCACCTTCCAACTCACGGAAGGCGATGGAAACCAGGGTGGCAGAGGAGCTAACATGCTTGTCCCTGCTGCTCCGTCTCACACAGTAACGTCTCTCTTCCCATAACACCTGAAGATGGCTACAGCTGCCACAGAAACTTTAAGGGAAGCACGTACTTAAAGTATTAGCAGGAAGGAAGTCTACTGAATAGTTAAGTCTGCAACGTGCAATGGCTGGGAATGGAGATCTCTGGGAAATTCCAGGCAGGCTTTGCAGTGGCAGATTTTATTAGCCACACCCTCTCACTTCCCTCCTTGTGGATTTGGCGGGATCTTACAGTGACTGCAAACAGCTTTGGAGAGGAGCATGCAAGTAACCAGGTGGTTATTCTCACAACCTGAGACAAATAGTGAGTCCTATCTGAGGAACAAGTTCAGCAAGTGGGCAGCCAACTAGCTTTTAACTGACATTACTAAGAAGAAACTAAACATATTTCAAAGTAATTGTGGTTTGGGCTCTGGCGTTCTTTCACCGTTAGAGGAGCACCACGGGAAGTGATTTTCCACGGTTTCATCCCCCTGCACTCTTGTAAAGTTTAAAGCGGTAATATGGCGTCCTTAGCGAGAACAAAATGATCCCTCCACCCCAAAAAAATATTTCTTATTTTCACAATAATTCCTTTTGGCACTTGATTACACGTACCCGTATAAAGATAAGTGGTTATTATTATTATTATTATTATTAGCACTTCCTTGACTCAGCACCCAGTGCAGGAGAACCGCCTGGCCCAAGCCTAGGCACACAGCATCTGTGGCAGCCAAGTTACTTTGGTACCTGAGGCGCATAAAGGACCCATTTTCAGGTGTCTTGTGGGGCTGTATGCAGCCTGTAAACCATGGGTTAGACACCCTTAGTCAAAATCTATCCTAGATCTTCTGCTTGGAGTTATAGGATTGGAATTTCCCAAAAAAGATGTTAGATTGTTTTTGTATGCCACTACAGCGGCAAGACTTTTATTGGCTAAAAATTGGAAATCACAAGAAATACCAACAGTAGAAGAATGGCAGGTGAAGATGTTAGACTTTTTGGAGCTAGCCGACCTGACTGGAAGAATCCACGATCAGAAAGAAGAGGAGTACCAAGAAGAGTGGAAGAAATTGAAAGATTATTTAGCTAAATATTGTAACATACGATAAGTAGAAATTATTTGAAAGTACCAAATGGGCCTAGGACTAGAGTAAGAATTAATTGTAAAATACTATGGATTTGGATAATTATGAAAAGAGAAGAACACTGTAAACTAAAGGCGTTAATTTGATTAGAAAGAGGATATTGGAAAGCTGTTAAAAAGTGTTTCAATGATATTCAGTAAGGAGGGATTCGAGGAAGTCAGTTAATAATGAAATTTAAATTTGGCTTTAAAGTATTAGGTATTTATATGTTTGTTTTTGTTGTTTTCTTTTTTAGTATTGTAATGTTGTTGTTTTTTCTCTTTATCTGTGTGTCCTATTTGTTATAAATTTGGAAAATTAATTAAAAAAAATTGGGGGGGATCTATCCTAGATCAAGGATAGCCAGACTGAATATGGCTGCAACAATTTCAACCCTTTAATATATTTTTTTAAGGAGACATAAAAACTATGCTATCATTTCATGCATAAGGAAAGAGAAAGCTGTTTTCAAGTTGCATACCATCAGTGGGATTCAACTAAGTTTTGCATGAAACGAGGCACACTTGCGCAATGGGACTTCCTCCTCCCGTGCCCCCTAAATCTGCTCTGGAGAGTTGGGGAACAAGTTACGGTGTACACAGGGGGAGAAAAGGACAGAAAGGTCTTGTTGCATGAGAGACTTTGTTCTGCACACAAATACCTCACTTAGCGCTATTTTGAATTCCACTCAATCATCTGTACCATATATCTATATTACATATTACTCAGTATTACATCTCTTTTTTATTTTATGAATTACATATATGTAATTTTAAAAGTGCATACCTGTACATCAGGAGCGCTCAACCTGTGACCCCAAATGTTGTTGAACTACAACTCCCATCAGTTCCAGCTAATGGGATGAGGGAAGGCACAGGTGAGCCACCCAGGCATGTATAGAATGATGTCTGGCTGCATGTGCTCCACAACTGTGGGTCTTTACAAGTTGGTGGCATCAACTTTGCTATGGAATCTATGTCTGAGGAGCCAGAAAAACACTTGCCATCTCCAGACCACCATCTGAATAACAGAAAGTGGCTCAAGTGCATTCTAGGATATAGAAAGAAAAGCATACCTTTCTCTTTTGCCACCGCCCCCCGGCTTTTGCTCTGAAAACACCACTGATTAGGCATTCTTATACTACTGGTTCATAATTCCATCATGGAGGAGGTTAAATGGGTAGGAGGATAAACTTGTCCAATAGACCTTGTCTTCCTGGAGAGCCCAAGTTGATTAGGGTGACCTCCACCCAGCAATGCCAAGAGTTTTCTGCCATGGGATGCAGGAATGGTGCAGGAGTTGAAATGGTATCAAACGTTTTATCTGCTAAATGCCTTGTGGCCCAAGCTGCTAATAAGAGTACAGGAACACACACCCATCCACAACACCCACAAAAGTTGACAACCACATCTCCACCCCATGCCTCTTTCTTTTTAATCAGATTCTGAACAGAACTCAGACAGCACAGGAAGGTCATGATCGAGGCTTAAATCCATTTATCATATAAGTAGTACCAGCTGTACATTAGGAAGCCTCTTTTCTCTCTCAAACAATATAAACAAGATGATACTGGATGTAATTAGAAGTTCATTCCCCAAAGTTAAACTAAGCAAACTTTGCTCTGCGTAACAATTGAGTTTTTAAAAATATAGCTTAAGATACACAGTTTGGCCTTGCCGCATTGGCTAAGGAATGGAAAACTGGAATTTACTTCTGACTATATATGTACAAATAAACAGCTCCTCAAATACATAGAATCACCATATAAGGTGCATAAGCATAGGAAGTCCATAAAACCTGTTCCTTCTGGATTTCCCATGACTGAATAGACAGATAGGAGAACTGTCATGAGGAAGACACCTTCCAAAAGAATAAAGACCTGACCCCAACCTCTGAACAAATTTCATTTCCAAATACAAAAAAACCCCAATCAATTTACCACAGAGCCTGTCTTTCAGCCTTATTATCTTGTCTTTTGAACACACACACTTCCATGGCCGCTGCTAAATTGAAAATGGCAGAGAATATTGCAAATATGGAAAATGTGCAGATGACGGCATCAGGTCACTGTTTTAGATGTGCTGAGAAGCTTCAGGAGGGCTATCTAGAGTTTCCTGTTGATAATTAGTGATTTGTCACAGCAGTTACGTGTCAGTTCAGAGTGAACTGGCTCCTCCGCTACCTATAAAGTGAGCTTTCTGCTTCATCACACCCTAGTTCATGTCAGGGAACATTTCCTTTATTTGATTTCACAATTAATATAACAACCGAGGTGTGATTTATTTTTATTTTTTTGGAAGGCAGAAGATCCACACCTTCTACATAAGAAAGAAAGTCATTCATCCTCTTAGCTACATAAACAACAAAGCATCTTACCAGCCCATCACAATTGCTTATCGCCACAGAAGCATTAGGCAAGTCGGTGATATCCCCAACATAGAGGCAATTCCCATGGAGAGGTTCAACGTAAGTGAGGTTGGAATCCTCCTGCCATTCAACAGTTGCTCCAGGAGCCACCAGCCTAGAGTTTGGTCTCAGTCTAAAGTGAAATTCTCTTCCAAAAACAGTGACATTGTAAAAAATTGGCTCGCTTGCAGCTTCGTGCAGAGAAGCCCCTGTGTCCCTTCGAAAGCGCCTCTTTGCAGCTCCCGATACGACATTGGAGAGGAACCTGCCCTCCGAGTCTGTGCTAGCTGGAATGACAAGACTGTATTCTTCTAGATCTCCCAGAAGATGATCTAGGGAGAGAGAAAGAGAGAGCATGTGTAAATAATGAGTAATAATTAATGTCACGCTGAGTTTCCCCTCCTTGAGATCACTGTGCTGCATCCCACCATTGCCTGAAGCGGGCATCCCTTCCCTTTCTTAATGTGTCAGGCACCATCAATGTTCATTCAACTATGGGGTTAACACAGAGCAGAGGGAATTTCAGAGAACAGGGCGAGGCAGGCACCCGGCATCATCTCTCCAGCTGTTTCAGCAACAGAGCCCATCTTGCAGACATCCCCATTCAGGGATGGTCAGGCATCAAGGATGCTCCCACCCTTCACTTGAGGAAGACACGTCTCCCAAACAGAGATCAGCACAGTCTCTCTCGAGCAATTCCATTTTTCAGCTAGGGCTGCCTAGAGAGAAATGCCCTGAGTGAGGCTTTCCAAAGGCAGAAAGTTTACTGTCACATCAACTTTAAAACTTTGACATGCTTAATTTCCTCCCCAATCCCGATGTGGCTGACAAGTGAACGAAGCTTAAAAGCTTGTGGTTAGCAGTCACACGATGGAAAGGGTTTTTTAAATTATTGTTATTATTATTATTATTTTAAAAAAATCCATGTCAACCGCTTGACCCAGTTCCCCCTCTCCTGCTTTAATTCAAACAACAGCAGGGAAGAAAACTTAAGGCTCTGCCAGGTGTTTTATTCCGCATATGGAATTCCAAGAACTGACACGCTCAGCTCGGATCTTGCCACATGCGCCCGACTGTAAACAGAGTTCATTCGAGGTTCCCACTTCAGCGGGAAACTCTCCCCGTCCCGCGCCCCTCTCTCAAGAGATCTAGTGCGATCCAACAAGCGATTTCTTCCAACAAGCGATTTCTTCCCCCACCCCACCCCGCTCTCCCTCGTTCGCCCCGCGATCCCACCCCGCGCCCCACGGGACAGCACGCCAAAAGTAGCCAGCCCCACGTGGCGGCGCGAGGAACCCCCTCCGAGCCCTTCGGTCCGCGTGGCGCAGAGAAGTCTGGCTGGCGGAAAGGGGGGGAAAGTGCTTCGCCGGCGAAGTTGAGCGAGAGCGAGAGAGCACCCCAGCCGGGGAGACCCGGCCCAGGAGGTGGCGGCGGGTGCAGGCGAGGGGCCCCCGCAGCACTTACCTCCCTGCCCGGGACTCTGCGGGGCCCCCGGGGCCAGAAGGAGCGCCCACGAGCAGCAGCAGCAGCAGTAGGCGGCGGCGGCGAGGAGCGCGGCGATCCCGCCCGGAGGACCCATCGCAGGCGTCGCGCAGCCTGGGGAGGCTGCCGAAAGTGCCCTGCAGGGGGCTCCGGCCACATTGGAGGGCAGCCGGCGCCGCCCTCTTGCCCGCGGCGGGGAACCCTCAGCCCCGCCGGCGCTCGCCCTGGCGCATCCGCCCTCCTCCTGCTGCTCCTCTCCAGCGCTCGCTGAGCGGCCGCTCTCCCCGGCGAAGGCAGCAGAGGCACCAGCAGGCGGCTGGCTGGGAAGCGCGCGGCGTGCGGGAGGGAAGTCCGCCTGATTGACAGAGGCGCTGCTGCCGCCGCCGCCGCCGCTTCTGCTGCACAGCCCAGCCTCGCCTGGCCTGGCTCCGGGGAGGCGGTGGTGGCGACGTCGGCGTCGGGCGCAGCAGCTCTGCCCTTTGCTTGGAGCCTCGTGGCTCCCGGCGCCCGCTGGGACCAAAGTCTGCAGCCGCTTCCCGTTACGGGACACTTTTCTCCGCCACGGCTTAGAGGCGGTTCCTGCCGGATCCTGACCATTCCCCGCCCAAGCCAACAAAACCCTGGCTCTGCTGCTCGGAGGAGAGAACGCACAGGAGGGATTGCACCAAAAAAAAAAAGGGGGGGGAGAGAGAAACACACCTAGGAATCTATGAAGTTGTTCTGGAGCGGCGGCTGCTGAAAGGAAGCTCCTGATCTAGCATCCCCCCCTTTCCTGGGATCTATAGTATCGAACGGGTGTTTTTTCCAAACTCAGAGATGTGTTTGCTCTCATGACCACCCCCACAGAATAAAACTTTGGCAATATTGTGCCCCCAAGAACCCCTGTTATGTTCTGTGGGTCGTGGTGATTACTTCAAGTTATTAGATTCCCCCGGGCTTTGCATCTGACTGCCCGTTGCACCAAATATTCTGGGACCCCTAAGATCTTGGTTTTGGGGATCCCAGCCTACAGCAGGGAAAACCCTACCGCCTCCTGAAGGTTTATCAGCCCACCCCCCTATATTTCATAACTTAATAGGTTTCCTTGTTCTGCATGGAGAATCCGCCTGCCCTATCCTAGTTTCACACAAAACCAAACTTTCAACAGTGATCTTTCCTACACTTTACTTAGAGGAGAAAGTCCTGCAGAATTCAGTGGGGCAGTTCTCGGTAAACACATCGTAGGATTGGAAGAATAAAGAGCTGGAGGCAAACGGGGAGAGAGGGAGCGGGCACAGATCTTATAAGGTGGGTTCAACTTAATTCACTCTTCCTCATTTCACAGTCTTCTACCGATCAAATTTGCATTTAAAAACAAATGGAATCACACCCAGATCATTGCTGTGGCACTGAATTAATTACTTCAGTCTGCAGCAGGGATCCTGCAGAATCTCAATACTGTTCATTTGTAGCCTAAGATTTTTCTTCACCTTGAAATGCCTGCATTAACTATAGTGGTACATGCTTAATTCTCTTCCCCATTGCTATACATTCTTTGAGTGTGATCCAACCAAAGTGAAATACTTTTGAGCCCCACTGGTTTTAAAGAACATGCTTAAATTATTGTCACTGAAGCCCAGGGCACTTCAAACAGCCTAGCATCCTAAGCACATTAACTTGGAAGGAAGTCTCGTTGAGTTTTATGGGACTTCTTCCTGGAATAATTTCATTTAGGTTACTTAACTTATGTGGGTTCATAGCCCTTCCTTTAACAACAACCAGTTGCCTTTGGTTTAGTATAAGGTTACCAGATTTTTTCCAATGAATCCGGGGATGCTTTTCAACTTCAGTGGATTTTGTATAGGGACTGATTTGTAAATCTGGGGACTGTCCCCAGAAACGGGGACGTCTGGTAACTTTAGTAGTGATTCTTTCTAAACTTAGGTTTTATAAGGCACCTGGAATGGGTTTTCCTCAGAAGAGGCAGTAGTTTCTTCTCTTGCCCTCTTCTCTGCCTGCTCCAGTTTTAGTCCCCTCCACCAAACAAAATTGTGTCCATGCATCATTGTTCTGAGCTCTCTCTTAACACACATCTACATAAAGTTTGGCAGAATATTGTCAGAGAAACAGGATTTTTATTCCTTAAAAATACCCTGAATACTCAACCATTTGATAGAAATTGCCCAAGTCCAACTTAATAATACTTAAGATATTAACAGTGCTTTAATGTATTCACATGGGACGTGGGTGGCGCTGTGGGTAAAAGCCTCAGCGCCTAGGGCTTGCTGATCAAAAGGTCGGCGGTTCGAATCCCCGCGGCGGGGTGCGCTCCCGCTGCTCGGTCCCAGCGCCTGCCAACCTAGCAGTTCGAAAGCACCCCCGGGTGCAAGTAGATAAATAGGGACCGCTTACCAGCGGGAAGGTAAACGGCGTTTCCGTGTGCTGCGCTGGCTCGCCAGATGCAGCTTTGTCACGCTGGCCACGTGACCCGGAAGTGTCTCTGGACAGCGCTGGCCCCCGGCCTCTTGAGTGAGATGGGCACACAACCCCAGAGTCTGTCAAGACTGGCCCGTACGGGCAGGGGTACCTTTACCTTTTTAATGTATTCACAGGGCTGCATGTGCATTATCTAGTTATAATGTCAGGAATCTGATATGAGAAATTGCAGTAGAAGTTGCTCCCAGTACCAGTCACCACATGGAAGCAGCTTTAGGTCCAAATAGTTTACTGTTGCAGAAGCTAAGGCTCAGTAAAACATTTCCAAACGTAGATATATACAGCTCATAGGCTTTTGTAGATACAGATACATAAAAGTACAAAGTATCTCTGTTGTTCCAAATAAACTCCAGCAATTCAAGATGTAACACTGGACAAATTATACCAAGAGACTAACTAACTCACAGACTAACCAACTGAGCTGACATACATTAATCATAGATATAGTCAGGGCATTGGATCATTACCAACTGGCCTTACACCTGCAACTAACTCATCCATTGGGTGATTTATGCTCATGTAGGGAATTAACCCTTATGTTTAGTTACTCCAACATAGCCAGCCATTTGCCTACATCAGCAGCCCCAGCTGGAGCTTCCAGACCAAGTCCAAGGGCAGTCCCACATACAGCACATTGCAGTAATCCAGGATGGGATCAAAGGTTGAACCTTCCCTCCCTGCACATTGTGGTCCTGATTCACAAGAGACCACCAGCACCACCCCAAGTTTACTATTATAAGAGTAGCCAAGAAGTTACTTAGTTTGACTTTCAGAGGTTGGATAAAGTCTCAGAAACCTGTGCTTTTTGGCACCACAAAATCAGCTCTAAGGCTGCTAATTCAAAGTGTTCAGAAACAATGTATTAAATCACCCAAAAGCACTGTACTTTTTTTTTTTTTTTACAATGGGTGCTTTGTATTCATGTTTCTTTCTAAGCCTTCTGAGTACCCTGCAAAGCCACAAAGGCTAGATGCTTTAAACATAATAATTATAAGATTCTGTCAATCATACTCCCAGCCTCTTAGAAACCCCTGAAATTCTGAATCTCACCAATTAAACGACAGGTGCTGCCAGCTCTGCTCTGGTGCTCTGTCCATGCAAGATAACTATGTTACTCTCAATTTAGCTGGTAAATTTCTGTTTCTGCCCTTCTGGCCTGTCACTTACAATCCCTCAATCACTTTTCCTCTAGTCAATATCCCTAATTTGTGAAGAGTTTCTCTTGTAGTGGTCTGTCTCCTATCTGAAACGGATACATTCCCGAGTTACAGGATGAGCTACATCCTTGTAACTTTTCATCTTCTGTAGCATTTGGCTCACTTGCCTGGACCCAGTTTAATGGCCCATAGCAAATGCTTAATCTTAATTGTCCCTCTATGTTTCATCTCCCATCATCGTTCATAAAATATCGTTGTTACCTTATCTTTCATCAGCCATCTGTATTTAATGATGGGTATAATTGTTTTTTGATGACTGGTACAACTCCCTACACCACTCAGTTCCTCATGTGCTGCTGATTTACTGCCTTGGTATTAATATTCCAGCCCTGTGATGTATCTCAGGATGTTTTAGAAATATCTGCTTCCCTTGTATAAATATTTGGATTAATTTAGCTAATTATCAGTGGAGCATTTGATTATCCTCCTGGGAAATGTTGCTATTTGCTGCTGCTGCCTTCTTGATTATATCTTTATTTAGTCAATGAGAGACAGATAACAAGACAAAGGGGTTTTGGGGGGGGTGTTACAAAAAAAAATATTCAGTGAAGATTTTACATAGAAAGAATTCCTTGGTCCATCTCAGGAACAGTGCCTTATATTAAGTCAAACCATTGGTCCATTTAGTTCAGTACTGCCTACACTGACTGAGAACAGCTCACCAGGGTTTCAGACAAGGTGATGCCAGGCCTGGTCCTGCTAGCAACCCTAATTTTGGATGAGAAAAGGGAACGGCAGTAGAGCTAGAATTCTAAGACTTCTGTTTTACATAGCAAGACCCCAATTCACAAAACAACAGACAAAGGTGCACTGCCAGCTGGAGGGCATAGGCACCACTGTAGTCACTTCCTAGGCAACCAGGTCCAATGACACACTACTGAAAGGATGCTAGCCACTGGGGACGGGATCTAGCTTAGTGGTAGAGCATCTGCTTTGCATGCGGAAGGTCCCAGGTTCAATCCCCAGCATCTCAATGTAGGTCTGGGAATGTTCCTTGCCTGAAAACCTGGTGGGTCCATCACCAGTTAGTGTAGACACCCCTGAGCTGGATGGACCAATGGTCTGACATGGAACAAGGCATCTTCCTATGTCCCTATGATGACTTGCTGAAGGGCCAGCCAACCACTCACTGCAAGCTGCTTTGTGTGTGGGAACCAATGCTGCCAATGCTAGTCTTTCTCAATCCTGGTATTTTGATCATAGCACAACAGCTACGAGGTACACCAGACTCAGCAGCATCAAGCTGTGGTTCCAGCCTCCCAGCCCAGCTCTGCAGACTCAACTTCCAGTTGCACAGCGGTTACACTGCCTGACTCCTGTTGTTCCTAGGAGGACCATAAACAGTTCCTGCTTCTCCTGCTACAGTGGCTGCCTTCTTCCCATCAGTGGGGCCCACAGATTGCTGTGTCCTATGGATGAAGGGCCAGAATCTCTTTGGTGGGTCTTTTAAAGTCTTAGCTATTCTCCCGTACTTTCATGCTTGAATCTTGTGTCTTGCCCTTGCCTCCACCCCACTTGCTTTCATGCTTGTGTGTGTGTTATACAGAATAATTGTGCTGATGAGCTATAGTTCAGCTCTACGAAAATGTCTGATAAAGCAAAAAGAAAGAAAGAAAAGCGGGAGATCTTCTCATTGAATAGGTTTGCCTTGGGTTCCATGGCAGGAGAAAGGCAATAATACTGTATAAATAAAATAACTGACCTCACCAAGCCAACCATTTCTTAAATAATAAGCACTCTCCTAAAAGTGACATCTGCATTAGCTTTCCTCTTATTTCTTTTAAAGTTTTGGGCCATTTCCTCATTACTTGCATTTTCTGCCTGGAGACCCAGGTACAATTGTGTGGTTTTGGTTTTGTTTTGTTGGGAAGACAGCATCTGGGTAGGGGGAGCT